TCATTATGGAGTGTTTTGACATTTACGCCAAACAAGCTTGCGTTTTCCTTTTGCCAGTATTGGCCAACTGGATAATAAAAAAGGGGTCCTGACCGCAGTCGACCTGATTGGGTTTTGCTGATTCACGGGACGTTGTGGCATTCACATCCGGGGAGCTTTGTGTATGAGTAGGCTCCCCAACCTGACAACCTTGCTGAATATCATCCTCTGACTGTTCTGCTGACTACCTTATTTCCTTGAATGGGAGCGTCGATTGCTTTTTTGTACTCTGGCTTGATTCCTTGGTGAATAGTTTGTTCCTTTCTGCTGTAGTTGACTTGTACTTCGCTACTTTCGATTCTTTATTCAGTTCAAACTGCAACTATTGATTATTGTCTTCTTGTGACCTTTGTTTAGCAGACCAGCGAGTTTTCAGTTTATCGCCTTTCCTAGAATGTTTCCTGGAATTGAACAGCAACACTTTATCAACCTTCATGTAAGGCATCTTACGTGACCGAGAATGTTCTTTCTGAGCCTTTGATATGTTATATGCTGCAGTGGAGAGACTATCAGCTAAGGCAACGAATGTACTTATCCTGCTTTCTAATGCACTGACATCATCAGCTTCTTCTGATCCACTGTCACAAGGTATATCCAACTCAACAGGCAACCTTCCCTTTCTACCGTAAACTAGAAAGAATGGTTCATTCTTGGTTGACGTCTGTCGTGATGTCCTGTAGGCAAATGACACCTGAGGAAGATACATGTCCTAGTTATCTTGCGCCTCATTTGTGTACTTAACAAAGTAATTACATAGAGTTCTATTGTAACGTTCAGTTAGGACCCCTGTCTGTGGATGCTACAGGGATGATATCTTGTGGTCTATACCCAAACGCTCGCACAGCTCATCATTCAACGTTTTGCAGAATTCACGACCTTGGTCTGTAAAAGCGTCTCTGGAACCCCAAATCGACATATGAAGCGTGTGAGAATGATATTGGTCAGATATTCCGTGATGACAACAATATAATGCAAAATAATATGTTTCATACATATCAGACATGTTTAAATATATCACAGGTTTCTTATATAATATAAAACCATGTTTCATATATCCCAAGCATACTATTTGACACCCAATAACCGACTGATCTCAATTATGCACTTTATTGTGTTGAATTTCAACTAATACAGTTGTTACATGGTAATTAGCAACCAAACCCCAAATGTTTCCATGAAAACAGAAAAATATAAAGGTCTACTATAAAGTTACTAGCTGACCATCCAGTTGATATCTGTAGAAAGTTTCATAATCAAAATAACTACACAGTTTGCAATTTCTACTCAGACAACAAAAATCATCCCCAGTTGAGTTCAACCTGTTTCCATGGAAACTAAAGAAATAAAATCTGAGAAATCAAAACAGCAAAAGACACCTGTTCACCTACTAGTTGCTAAATTACCAAGTTCTGTGGAGAGACATTACAAGTTGGTTTAGTTTTACTCAGTAAACAAACCCAATCCCCACTTGAGTCTATATCCAATATATTTCTATGGGAACTGAAAAAAACTATCTGAAAAATTCCAAAATAGCAAAAGGCACGAGTTCTTGATGTATTTGATAATTGTGCAAAGTTTCGTGGAATAATATTACATAGGTTTTGATAAAATAGTACTTAGCACTCGTAAAGAAGAGGGTATAAAGTTTGTTTGAAATCTAGCATCCTCAGGGGCATTCATTTTAAATTAGAAAATTTAAACTCGATTTTAAAATTTATTCAAAAATGCTTCGACTGAAGAACTAGATCAAAGGAGTCAATATCACTTTCATTTAGGATATTGCTCTATTGATGTTTTATCAATTAAATATTTCGATCTTAGATCCAAAACCTGATTCTTTCATTTGGAACCGTACGCTTGGTTTGAATCAACGATAGAATAACAATGAATTAAAAAATGAAACAGTAGGTTTATCACCATTCTACCACGACGATATGAACACGAACTATCGAATGGAAATGAGTAGTGCATATGTGGAAATGTCAAACTATTAACGGGTTATACATATACTACCTTCATGACTTGGAAATTCCGATATATAGTGTAATTTAACCTAGCTTATTTTAAATTTGGCTTGTATCAAAACAGCCTACAATCTAGAAGACTACAGATAAATAAACATAACATAACGTGACATTACACACCCCTCACCCTATAGCGATTCGCCCAACGCTTACTCACTTGTGACGTCATAGCTGTCATTGTGACGTCGCATAATTCCAAAGTAAAACGCCATCCAGTTGTATATGTGGAATGTGACGGACGAATGTGACGAACCCCAACCCAATCAAGTCTATGTCAAACTTGTTTCAATTAAAACAGAAAAAAAGCCAAAATTCTAAAAAAGCCAAATATCAAAAGGCACCAGTTTTCTATCTATTTGATAACTGTGCAAAGTTAATCGAAGTGATATTGCACAGGTTTGTAGTTACACTCCCGAAACAAACCACGACCCCAGTCAAGTCTTTGTCCAATATATTTCCATGGAAACTGAAAATAAAATCGAAAGATTCCAAAATAGCAAAAGGCACCACTTCAGTACCTAAATAATACATTCCCCAAGTTTCGTTAACAAATATTGAACGTTTTTCAAGTTCTGACCCGGAAAAGAAAATGATTTCAGACAGACAGACGGACAGACGGAAATACTGATGGCTATATCCCCCCAACATAAGATGTCGGGGGATAAAAATGTAAATGTAGAGTATAAAATATTACTTAGCACTCGTCAATAAGAGGGTATAATTTTAGTTTGAAATCTAGCATCCTCATGGGCATTCATTTTAAATTAGAAAATTTAAGCTCGATTTTAAAATTTATTCAAAAATGCTTCGACTGAAGAACTAGATCAAAGGAGTCAATATCACTTTCATTTAGGATATTGCTGTATTGATGTTTTTATCAATTAAAATATTATAATATAATATTATAATACTTTCATTTGGAACCGAACGCTTGGTTTCGAATCAACGATAGAATACCAATGAATTAAAAAACACATGTTAAATATGTTGGATATTTTAAACTTGGAAGAATATTCTTTGCAGTATGGTTTGATAATAAACATGTACAAACCATGCAAATGAAATTGAAAGGTTCCAAACATAGTTTCACGTTTCACCTAGCAATATTTCGGTTTATACACAGCGACTGCCAGATTATGACCGATTATTCAACGGACACGATTGAATTTCCAAATAAAATACTTTTCTTGTTTCTGACTAAAAGATAAAAAACCCAAGGGTTTGCTACTAACGTGACTATATCCCGCACCCCAGTTGCAGAAATTATGACATAATTAGACAAACCCTACATGTTTTTTAACCGAGGTACAAGTTGTCACAGAAATTGGAGAACAATTAGCAAAATAAACAAGTTATGCATGTGTCTGATAGGTATGCAGAGTTTCATCAGGCTTGTCAAAATGAATTATTCTTGAATCCCGGCATGTTTTCGGTTCTGGCATGACATAACATGACACGACAGTTCAAGCACTGTGACTTAGATGATTGTGTGTCATCATATCAGACTTGTGTGGATCAATGCTCATGACGTCATGTTACTCGATTGTCTCGTGCAGACTTGATTATTTACAGGCCACTGCCATATACTTTCAATATTGCTGAGCATGCTAAGGGAGGCATTAACCAAAGCATAACAAATCAATATACATATTTCAAATGTGGGCGGAAAACCTACAATGATGATAAGAAACATCGGGTTGCTGAAGACAATTTTCAACAATGATCTTCACGGTGCCATTCAGATAAACACTTTTATAAAATTTGGGGATCTTCCCGGATTGTCTTGGATATCCTTCATAAGTACGAAAACAACATTTCAAGTATAAATTATTTGGCATACAGAAATAATTTGTTTTTGTGAAAATGTTCATAAATATGATCTTTTCAAGGCTTGTATTCTTTGTAAATCTTAATTCTAACAACGTTGCATATGTTAGTTGATAGAAGAACATACAATAAAGATAAAAGCTTCTTTTTTCCATGATGCTGCAAAGGACAATTTCATGTCGTTGACAGGCCTTTTGAGTTTCTTAAAATACCCGTCACTGATAATAAAGGTCAAATTCATTCTCAAAGTCACACACTCTAAAATGTATTATACCTTCGATAAATTAAGAAGGGTTTACTCAAGGTCATTGAAACTAGGTACTTGTCAAACTTATATAAGGGACCAGATAAGACAACATCAACATCAATAGTGAGTGAGCAGTCATAAGGCTAACATTATGTTGTTCGATAATGCATAGCAGAGTATCTCGAAATGAACATCTGGCAACTGTCGCACATGTAAAGTTATAGCTATAAACACATCTTGAGCTTTCACGTCAATATGTCGTGATTTGGACATGGTCACGTCAATAATTAGTAATCTTATTGGGAGATTTGTCAGTTCAATGTCCCTAGAGAGTCCATGTATATCAGGGCCTGTCATTAGTGACTAAAGTGTCAAGTTAAGTGACTTAGCTCCGAATCGTAAAATGTTCGTACCAGACGCCATCTTGAGTTCTAGAGGAGTCAATATTTATCACGTGACAGGTCAATACTGATCATGTTACGCTTCAATATTCAAGAGCAGGGTTACTTACATGTTTTTATTGAAGATATTGTGTAAGTTTTATGCATTTAGTGGTTGTACTTATGTATGACAATAGGTGCTGTTGTATGAATCAGTGTAAATGCTTTGGGCATACATATTCCAGAAGAAGAAGTTATTTTCTAACATCGTATGTGGTTACAACTTTTGTATTAAGGTAGCTCGAGGCACAATATTTTAGGCAATTAGGAAAAGATGGATACGGGGCTGCAATGCCAGAATCTTGGTGCCAGAATCCGCTAGTTGTGGGTTCATATATACTTATTACCATGAATATGATCCATGGTCTGTTGGCACCACACTCACCCATTGGTTGTACCGTACTTATCCCTTTTTATTTGTAGGGAGCAGAGAAATTACACAACGAAATAAAAGAGATGATAACTACATTTAAAGAGAAGAAACAGGCTTTAAAGATTCTGGTCTTTGGGCCAACAGCATGTGGCAAATCATCGCTATGCAACGGTTTAAAAATGGCTCTTGACAAAGAGACCGAAGTCAGCCATTTTTTCCAAGCTGGAAGAAGTGAAACTGCAAGTTATACCAAGGATGTGAGTATGTTATGACATTGACAGGTTAGCGATTGTATGTTGGTTAAATTAAAGCAATAAAGGTCGAGTGGGAGTTGTTTATCGTACAATAAAACACTACACGGAGACCCTCAGGCTTTTCCCTCACTAACGGTTTTACATTTTCAACCAAAACCTCGGAGTCGTGTTTTATCCTTAACATCAAAGGGGACACAGGTAGCCCAGTCGTCTTAGGTGCCGCAATTCAATGAGTCTGGAAATAGAAATGTGTTCACTGTATATCTGACCTTATGTTTGTCATTTACTTTAAATTTTTACATTACTTATTTTATTATTCACAGCAAGAAGGATCATCTTTTCTTCTGTTTCATTTAGATAGTCTAAACATCTAGATAAACACATCTCATGTTAAACTTTTAATGTGAAAATATTCCAGAACATGAAAAACATCCATTTCCATTTGCAAAGTGTTCTTTTGTTTACATCACATGCTGTCGTCGATGCCATTGTTAAGAGTTATGGTCACTTTCATGTATAAATATATTTGACGTGCATTTATTGTCTCCAGAATATTTTATAAATCAAGTTCAGGTGGGTACTTGTAATGATTTTATTCAAAGCTGGATATATCGATTGTTCAACTGATGACATTTCACGATGAGCAGCGTAGTTGACAGAATACCAACGAACACGTTTTGAGAAAAAAAGTATTTCAGATTAATGTTACAAATGAGTAGCTGAAACAAATAAGTGTTAATGAACATTAAATATATCATTATTATCATATAAAAATAAAGATAAGTGTTGTGATTTATGCTCATACATATGGTCACATGCTTGGCTTCGGAAAAGGGGGCAACATTTAGTTCTGGTGTATAATGCTCACCCCTAATTTTGTAGTCTAAAAATTGTGACAAAGGTGTGTTTTACACACGAATAAATATGCTATCTTTAGAACCAACTGGAGTAGAACTTTTAAGACTTGTTAGAGCTAGACATAGAAAGGGATAAACTATCCTTTCCTGATTTGTAACCCCGCGAACTCCTACCTGTAAATCCTGACTGCTTATAACTAACAATTTAAGTTGGTGAATAATCATCATCTAAAGTAGCATGCTTGTGTAACTTTTCCACTTTTTGCTCACTATACATCCGAGTGTCCGTTGACACACACTTTGCTTAAACTTCTCCAGCAAAACCAACTACCTCAAACTATCAAAATCACCCCTGACAAGCTTCCATCCATACATGCACAGACATCTGCAGTGGTGGCTATCCAAGACACATGTCTGCTCAGGAGTTCCCCTGGAACCCTTCCTACCAACGCTTCACTTGTTCGTTGATGCATCGACTGTGGGTCAGACATCAGGACTTTGGTCAGCTACAGAATCTACTCTCCAACAATCAACAATCTCGAATTCAAGGCAGTCATACTAGCAATCTCGCATTGGGCAGAAGTACTTCGGTCAGCTCGACTTATGATACAGTCAGAATATGCCTCAGTTGTTTGGTATATCAACAAGATAAGACCCACCAAGTCAACCTCGCTGCTGACCCTGACGATGGGCTTGACTGCATTGGACATCTTTCATCTAATCAACACTCTGGACATCAGCCCCCAAACTTGACACATTCCGGGAGCTTTGCCTGATTTTTATCACGCCTTACTGGTTCACCATGTTTTTAGACCTTGCAAAGGGTAGCCATCATCCACTTCCCTTGTAAAGAGAACCTCTCCTTCAACCTCACTCCAGCCTACTACATCCATAGCTGGAAACCCTACATCTATGTGTCAGGCTCATATCCAGAAGTTCTTAGAGGCAAAAGGGTACTCAAGTGAAGACTATTATTCAGGCTTATCGTACTTCAACTAAGTCCTTCTTCGACGAGAAATGGAAAGCCTTCAAGGGATTCTGTCAAGGTAGATAAATCACCTCTCCTACTACTGTTACCCAACAGCAAGTTGTTGAATATATCCAGCATCTTCGCACTACCAGGACTTTAAGGGTTCTACTTTATCTACATACTCAGGAGCTCACAATTGGGTCATTGCTATCACAATGAGCGTCAAGATCGCTTTAGTCCCAGAACTACAAGCTCTTCTCCACTCTTATAAAGTTGTCCAGATTTCGGGCAACAAAATGGGATCTGAAAGTAATCCTCCGACACTTGACGCCACAGGAACTAGGAGGAAAAGACTTCGAGCAGATTACTCCCATAATGGTCTTCCTCCTATTTTTAGCCACAGTTGCAAGGGTGAGCGAGATACATCCCTTGGATGAAAACAGGATTCAATTTGTGAGAACATGGACAAGTCCACTTGGCTCTATGATGGGATGGTTTTACAATGGCCAAGAACCAACTCCCGGGGCAACCAGACAGACTACTCACATCCTGTCTTTGGCTTCTATTCTACATCACGAGGATCGCGAGGACATCTCACTATGTCCAGTTGGAGCCTTATGCATCTACCTGCATGGTTCAACGACCTTTCAATGATCACAGAAGAGATTGTTCATCCCAATCTCGCAGGTGGTTACCTCGGAGGTTTCCCATACAGCGGTCTCCTTTCGGTTATGATCTACATTCTCCGTGCCTACAACTTTTGGGGATTGCCTCCTCCTCAGACATTGGATCCTCATGAAATGAGAGCTGTCGCATCCACCATAGCTCTACATAGCAACTACTCTCTCAGTGCAATCATGGAAGGTGCTTCTGGAAGTCCGACATGGTTTTCACCTCCCACTACTTACGAGATATCTAAGCAAATGATGTCAAAGGGCTACACCACTTTGGTCTGCTGGTCCTGGCTCAAAAATGAACGACAGTCCTTCAACACAGATAGAATGCGAGTACCACTCACCCAGTCAAGTATTTCGTATTGTGTACAACATGAATAAACAACTGAGAGCCATTTTTTGGTTTTATTGTACTTAATTTGGGTCCCAGGTTCGAGAAGCAAAAAACTCATCTTTTGAGACAAGTCTTCCACTACAAAGTCACCGTTAGGTGCGGCCGTCTCGACAGTGTCCCAAACCCTTACCTGATCACCTCTGCCTTGAGCATGTGGCCTCTCGGTATTGGTTTGAAGATGCTCCTGGATAAGTTTAAAAAATTGTATATTGTACAGTAAATTGTATTTTTATAAATATTTATCCTATCCCACATGGACTATGACCGTCTATCCATCCCCGCTTCACAATTCCACAGCCTGTCAGCTCCAAGCAAGAGAATGATGAGGCACAGGGGGTCAGGTGATTAGCACATGCACAACAAACTACACCAGCTTTGGGTGCATGATCTGTTTGACAAGCTGGTCACCATGGTGATGCTTGGGGTGTTTTGGCGAATGATGCTTAGAAGCTGGAAACTTTGTTTTGGGACATATCCTGTACAAAGAGTGAAATAGGATAAGTATTTATATATATATACAATTTACTGTAAAATTTACAAATACTTGTAAACTAATTGTAATGATGTTTAGAATTAGGGATGCATTATTTATCATATGTTACAATACCTTTTTGGGGTGATTAATCACTGATGGAATATCTTCCAAGCCATCTGCTGTGCTGTGAGTGGCAGCATGGTGTCTGTAATACGTCACCACATCAGCCAGCGATCCAGATTTTCAATTATTACGATAATGATTAATATCTTCAGACACATCTCCCATCTCGAATAAAATAAGTAAACTTCAATTGACATCATCGGAATGATAGTTACAGTTTAAATGTCAATGTTCATCAATCAGTTAGAAAGCAAGCAGTAAGGAATTCTTGATGCAATAGAACTATTACGACAGGCTTCAACCATCATGTAAGCATCTGTTGTTTGGTTGCAGACCAATTCAGTATTTAATCCCAGATTTTTTGCAGACTATTAAATCAGCAGTCGCTGAAACATTTTGTTGATGCTTTGTAAAATCGTCAAGTTCAAGTTTATAGTTGTTGTGGTTAGCTGTGTTGTTGGAAATAACTCTATCATAATAACAAAAATACTATCAGCCTTTATTCATACAGCAGTGGAGGCTCAGGCCAATTCTACCGTTACATCATTTCTTGAGAGAGTAACAGCATATATACATTAGTACATTGGTGTACATTGTCCATCCAAATGATTGTCTTAGATAGTTGCATTGATTTACATACACTCGTAAGATTTGTAACAATTTCTGGATTTCATTAAGACTTTAGAAAGTTAAATTGATGTAAAGTTTGATATAAGTTTCAATTTGGGGATATAAACAAACTCCTGAGATTGTCATAAGCATAACACACAAGTACAACATGGGAAATAACAAAATGATAGTTTTGAATTTGAAATGATTTTTTTATGATCGTACATAGTTATTGATTGTGAATAACTCATATTCACATATCAATTATTTAATTATAGAAAACGTTATGGTTATAGTGTTGTAGATGAGAGATCCAGTATGCCCATTTTATAAATATTTACTGATTGCCTCTCTTCACCAAGAATGCCTCTAACCAGGTTTTTCGTTGTTTGAAAGATAGTGACAATTAAATCTATATGCCACGAATTAGTATAAACCTTGTTCCACATTCAAATGCAGCCACAGAAATGTTCAGTGTTCCTGGCTGTGCATGGGGGTTGGGTTTATTTAATTTGAGGTTTATCTGTTTGCTGAAACATCATGTGATGTACTGAAATCCAAAAATATATGCTTTGCTATAAATTGAGCTACAGTTATGGGACTTGAACTTGAAAAATATACTTCAATACCAGAATGGACATCATGCAAACAGTAAGTACAAATCACTTAGTCACAAGGTAACAAATGAAATCAGCATCTGTTTAAAAAAACACAGACATAATCCAAACCGGAAATACTAACTAAATAAGCTAGAACCATGATTATTCTGTTTTCTGCAGGTGAATCGAACAAAACCATGTGCACAGCACTGTAGTAGCAAAAGTGTTTTTTCACGTGCAACTGGTCTCGTGGCCATAATACCGCATGTATTTTCAGCCATACTTGTAAGCAGTCATTAACAACAACAAAAAAACACAAGAAAACAAAAGTCTTTACGGCCATTTGTCATGCCACGCCTTTCAAATGTGCAACGTGAATGTGCCATCGGCATGTTGCAGACGGGAACGTCCGTAGCTGAAGTCGCAAGGACGATGGGTTGTAGTCGACGGACTGTTTATGATTTACAGACGCGTCTACAGCAAACGGGTACCACCGCTGATTGCCCTGATCAACCAGAAATGAACTGTTTAGGGGTAGACTGAGTGCGCAAACTGTTCGAACCCGTCTGAGAACTGCTCATCTTCAAGCATGACGGCCATACTGCGGTCCAATTCTGACTCATTTACACAGACGTCAACGTCATTTGTGGGCACAGCGACACTTACGATGGACTCAGAGGAATTAGAATGAAGTCGTCTTCAGTGATGTATCCCTCGCAGGGCGAGGGTGTGGAGGCGCGGTCATGAACGTTACGCCAAGTGTTGTGTACAGGAAGTTGACAGATTTCGAGACGGAAGTGTAATGGTGTTGGGTGCTTTCTATGGCAATGTACGTTCCAGGCTTCTTGTCATCCGTGGAAACCTTAACGCTGCTGCTTACCGCGACCAGGTACTGGCACAAGAACTTCTGCCTTTTATGGCAGCAAATGGACCCGGTTTCATCTTCCAACACGACAATGCCAGACCCCACACAGCAGTGACTCCCGCATTCTGAGGGAAATTCCTTGTCAATATCATGGACTGGCCGTCAAGGTCTCCCGACCTCAATCCCATCGAACACGTCTGAGATGCTCTCGGCAGAAGTCTGCGCACTCTCCAGAACCAACCACACAATTTACAAGATCTTGGCACCATTTTGCAGCAACAATGGCGTCGTCTTCCCAATCATGTGTTCACAAGCTTCATGTTGTGTGGCAGTTGTCAACGCACATAGTGGCCATACACGCTACTGAACTTGTGTGCCATCACATTCTCGTGCTTTGGACTTATGATTTAAACTGTTGATGTTATTACCGAATACTGTAGGTGCTTGGAACAAATTATGGTTACCACCGTTAATTAAGATCCTTCTTTGGACATTAATGATTAAAAAATACCTTCTCTGATACATTTGTCCGTTGTACGTATATCATATATGGGATTACTTTAAAAAATGTGAAGTTTTTAATTTGACTCAGTATATATCTTCAAACAAACTGGGCTGAATAATTTATTTTCATCTGGTTCCAGTTGAACGGACAAAAGATATCTGTTGACTTTCCTTAAAGAGACCAGGTGCATTTACACCTAAGGTTATCTGATATCTCACCCACATGGTGATAATGTCAAGTAACAGAGCTAGGGTGAATACATACAATATGAAAATATCATCTTCTGAAGTAAAAAAAACCATACCTACAAAACACTCATTCATCGCACACATCGAAAACGACTTTGATTACTACTAGTGTTTGCAGAACGCAATCATTTATCGATCAGAATCAATCACAGTTCTGGTCGGCTTGTTTGCTGTTTGGGCCTGTCATGAAAGTGTTGTTTTGCAAATTGTGGAGTTGGCATTAAAATGTGGGAATTGAAGTTTATTCAACCAAGGAGCAAAAATACTCATTGGTTTAGTGGTAAATGGTCAGCCCGGAGAGCGGACAGTCGGGAGTTGGATCCTTAGTCGTGTCATATCTCATGATGTAAAAGACAGTAGAAGTTGTTGGCGCTCGGCATTAAGGTTCTACAACAAGATCTGATCGACTCCGAGTCAGTATACTGTTTCTGAATGGGGTATTCGGGTTTAACTGGACCTGTGAACATGGACAATTGCTGAGTGCGTTGGTAAAAAAACAAAAAACAAAACAAATCATGTTTAACTGCTTCATGGTACTTGTATCTCAGTGGGCTAGCATGGTAAAATTGGCATTGGTCCGGACTAGTACTCCCCCCACACACATACACTATAAAAGTGCAGTAATCTTGAACGCGACGTAAAACCTCATTTCACCTCATACTAGATACAAGAAAATTGATGCTGAACTTTGTTGACATTTAAGCTGTAGACATCAATAAAGGGGCCAGATGAGCTGCAGTGATGGACACTATTTTATATGGCTACACGATTATACCAGAAGTGTTGGCAGTAGTGTTAGAATTTCATTTAATCATATCTTATTTTGAAATTATTTCAGGGTATCTTCACTGATCCTTTCTTATAAGTATTGTACTTTAGTTTCAGTTTACAACATGGGAAGATTGTGTCACCTTGTATGACATGGCTGGAGTGTTTGAAACAGAAGTTATCAAAGATGAAGACATATTGAATATTATCCAAGGAAAGGTCGCATTCACTGGAAAGGTAAAACCATGTCTCTTTTTTCTCTGAAGAATAGTGGTGCATGGCTGGCTCTGTGAAGTAGAGATCTTTCTCACATACAACACAATTTGGAAAATAAATATTTAATTAATACTAATTTATCTATTGATATGAATTTATTACTTAATTTATGAAAGCTTTTATATGAAGAAGACGTGTAATGATGTTTTTGAATAATTCATTACTTGGTAGTTTCTTTATGTCATTCGTCTTTGTTGAAATGTGTCATTCTGCATGCATTTAGATTGATTCAAAATGCAGTAATTATCTTAATAGCATAGTTCTATTGTATTGATGAAAAGGAAGACACACATCAACATCAGTTTATACACTTGGTTGTACTGTAACCATAGATGTAGGGTGTAATACCCTTTCACCTAGATCACTTGTTCTCCTTGCTGGTTGGCTCCGGGGATGTTGTAAATCCCTCAAAGTATAAGTCAGATTTGTTGCTCACAGTCCACTTATTAAAGAAGGATGTTTTGATAATATAAAACAAGGTCCTCAGATGGCTTTCTGTAGCCTGACCTGTTTATGCACAACACATGCCTAGGAGATGCATTAAAGATTCTTATAGTACTTCTCATCAACTCTCAAATCTTTTCTGATCTGGACTTTACATATACAGAGAGAACCTCTCTTGTCAGCCGTGAGGCTCTGAATCCCCGCACCACTCCCAGACAACTATCAAAATACTATCGATGACAATTTTAGCTTCTCCCACCGAAATAATGTTTAAATCACGGGAGAAGATTCAAAAGATAATCTCAATGAAAGCTTATTTCAGTTCCTTCAAGTGGGTAATTCAGTCGTGCTATCAAACTGATCTTAAAATAACTTGGTTAACCTACTAAAATCATTGGTCGATCACACCTAGCACATCAGTCAGTCGACTGTAGGATGAAAACCAAATACTATGTCAAACTGGTAGGCGCCAGAAGACCCTTAATCATACCATTCCAAACAAGCAGTACATCTTACAATATTTGGTCACTTCAAGCCAACCATCGCACGTCAGTATTATGAAGAGGCTGACCAGTCCACCACAAAGACCCCACGGTTGTCAGATGGGGCACCTGACAAGACACCTGACAATTATCATGGCAGAAGCCACTACCTAAACAGGATTCCAGGATGTCACAATCTCAACAAGAACCTCGCATCATACCATAGTTCCTGATCCTCCTTCTCCTTTGCTGGTTGTTGGAAGACCATTGTAACTGTTCAGCCTCCGTGAGTCATGGCACGATATCACAGACTCCATATCATCTCAGAATCATGGACACCTACCGGGTATTACCCGTGTTATAAAATGCTATTATCCATTGCTGATGGTAAATGTCCAAGCTGGGCATCGCCTGTCAGACTTTTGCTGAGCCATTATGGTTTTAGGGATGTGTGAGTTGAACAAAGTGTTAGCAATGCAGAATAATTGAATTGTCTACGCTACCGAGACAAGATCCTGCAGCGCCATGTTGTCCCCTTCATCAACGTCAATGCTAGCATCTTTCAGCAGAACAACGCCAGATCCCACGTTTCTGTGTCAGAACAACATGCCAACGTTGCCCTGGCCTGCCCGTTCGCCAGACTTGTTCCCTATCAAACATCCCTGAGACGTGCTGGGCTGTCAACGTTAACCATCACCACAGACACTTCAGGAACTGTTTGTGGCACGAGACAGGAATGGCAGAACATTCCCCGGGCTGTTATTCCGTCTTTGATCATGTCTATGGGCAGTCGGTGCCATGAGGTGATAGCAGCTATAGGAGGCCATAATCGTTACTGAATTTCCACCTATCCCTGACGTCTTTGCACCTGTTTTTGTTAAGTGCATATTGTACAGCAATAATTTACCTTTACATTCCACTATTTATAATATACTCTTCCAAATTAGAAACGCAATACGTATATTTTTGGCCATAAAAGCAAACTTTGCGGACCAACAGGTGCAAAAAGAAGAAGTTTAATTTGTTATAGTGTAAGTGATAAATTTCCCGGATCAAAATGATCACAACAAGGACATTCAAACCATTAGTCGGGAAATATGTACGAATCGGAAAAAAAGAAAAGGGCAGGGCTTTCGATTGCCTGGCTTCTGGGAAAATCGAACAGTGACAGTTCAACAACATGCCAAGCTTATCAGAAGTGCAAAGAAACAATATCACAGGCCGCCTGCAGGAAGGGGAATCCCGATCAGCTGTAGCCATGGTAGCACCAATTGGTCATCACAAGGTTATGGGATCGGTTTCAACAGCATTGGTCAACATGTGATTGGCCAAGGTCGGGGCGACTAAGAGTAAACACACCCGCCCAAGATCGCTTCATCCGACAGCGCCACCTACGTGGAATGACGACTACGGCCACCTCAACGGCAACCCCAAATCCCAGACTGGATAGAATCTCTGACAAGACCATACGAAACCATTTAAGAGCAGATGCTTTACAAGCGAGAAATCCGGTTTGACGCACCTTATTGAGTAGACAACATTGTCAACAACGACTGCATTAAATTCGTCAACAGTGGGTATGGCCTCAACTGCGAAGGAGAGATTTCTGGTTCAGTGACGAATCAAGATTTCTCCTCCATCGAGGAGATGGAAGAGCAAAGGACTACAGACGTAGGGGAGAACGTTAACCTTGCAACTGCTTACAGGAACTGGACAGGTTTGGTGGGGGTAGCATTATAATGTGGGCTGCTATCTCTCATCATGGCAGGACAGAGTTGGTCCATATCCAGGTCAATCTTACAGCTCAACGATGCATCAACAAAATTCTCAAACCACATGTCCTCCCAATAGCAGCCGATGGCAATGGTGTATTCCATCAGGACAATGCTTGACTGCATACAGCACGGATCACTAGAGCCTGTCTACACAACAACAACCATTTGAACCACAACGGTAGAGCAGCTGTTGGATGAAATGGATAGATGGCTACCCCGGCGTCAACGACAACCCCATACGTTGCAGCTGTTGGCTTTTGCGCTGGAGGCCGAGTTGGCTACCATTCGTATACTCGTCTCTTCCATGGACAGGTGGCTATCGATTCCAACAGGGTGGGATTTCTTGTTGCTTTGAAACTTCCAACTTTTTATTAAATGGAATATGATCAGCCTCCAGCAGCAAATTCCTGCCATTTCTAGTGGTACCAGATTGTGTTTGACCCATGATGTAGGTAATAGCACTCAGCACCCCGCTCCCCACCCACCATGGAGTGTCCACAAGGACAGTGCTGCAGTGGAAGACAGGCTGCAACACCACGCCTACAGGTTTGGTGTACTCCAGCAAATACAACACGAAAAGCTACATTTGTCAACCCAAAGAAATGCCAAGCTGGTTCAGCACATGACAGAACATTGGTGACATGTAGAATTTGGAGGTTGACATCATCACATTGGCCAATGAGCCACCGCCTTCTGGCATAGGACTCGAGGCAATACTTAGATCTCCCCAAGTAGATTATCATATATCATAATTAAAAATTGTTTGATATGATATTTCCAAAATGACACTTTTCCAAGAACAGGGCATGGCGTGACCGATTGATAGAACCGGGCCCATTCTACCAACCGTCTAGGTGAAGTCAGGGTCGGAGTGGTGTGTTGGGCAACAAAAACACCTGTTCCTGGCTCCAATGCCTTCAGTTACGAGAATCCATCATCAACCAGCACAGGGGCGCAAACCATGATAAATGGGTTGCTCAAATTCAGTCGGCTTTTACGACCAACAATGGTGTGCTGAGTCCACACGCGCGAGATTCGCACTACCAATCACCCACCACGTAGAGGTTGCTCTTCATGTGTGCCAGGGTGGGTCAGACGGCAAGACAACAGAGTAGCCAAGATAGTAGCTTTTGTTCCTATGTTTGTGGTTTTGAATCCCAGTTAAAAGTGTTATATAACTGAGACCTACATCACTTAATAGGGTGTTCCTCCTAGATTAAGCTGACATGCCTTGATATGTCTTGAATACTGTTATAAGTGGCATTAAACCTAACTCCCTCACGCTATCGTAAAAGTAACAACTTTGTTTTCACCACTAATGTGTGCAGATTTCCTCAACTACCATGAATGTTTGAATGCAGTATGTATCTAAATGTCCAACTCTGAGCAGCAGGTTAACTTTTCAAGGATTGCTCATTGTCTGTGGTACCAACGCCCGCCTCCAACAACTTTGTTGTTGATGTGGCATACACTCAGTGGGTTTCATGTTTGGGAAAACCAAATGAATGGTTGACATTATCAAATAATCACTTTATTTATATAATAATCACTTTGTTGACAATTTTCACAAAACAATTTCACCAATTGTAAATAATTCCTTTGTTGATTGTGGATGTGCCACCTTTATTGACAGTAGTGACAGAACGATCTTACCAAGGTTATGTTAGATCTGTTATACCTCAGTGAGGTGATCTATCTTTGGTTGTTGTTGGTTTATAACTCGTACTTAAATTGTAAAATTTGTGATATTAAAGCTTGTGTTGATTGGACTTTGAATATTTGAATAACTCATTCACTCACAAGATCACGGGGCCCATTTTGATGCAACTCAAAAAGTGTCCTTTAACATAGGATAAAGTAAAGTCAGTGCCTTTAATCTTAGTGAAGCATCTTAAAATACACTGTTCATACATTGTTTAAAGGTTAAGAGTGAGTGAGTGAGTGTGGTTTTACGCCGCTTTTAGCAATATTCCAGCAATATCACGGCGGGGGACACCAGAAATGGGCTTCACACATTGTACCCATGTCAGGAATCGAACCCGGGTCTTCGGCGTGACGAGCGAACGCTTTAACCACTAGGCTACCCGAACGCCCCTTAAAGGTTAAGAAGTATTGTTGAAAAATAGAGAACATATATAGTATCGATACATTAGATTCTGAAGACTTAGAACTAGGTGGTTCCATGTAATGGTAAGCTTTGTTGAATTAACTTGGGTTGATGTATGAAGAACTTTAGAACATATCAACCTCCTAAGCTTTGGATTTCCTTTTAATTTCCAGCTTAGCAATGTGCTTAAGCCTACACCACAAGCCAGTTCAGAAGCACAAACAAACGTGTCATGTGTTGTCATTGTTTTGAAGCCAGGAATGCAACTTCCTGAAAACGTAAAGAGAATTATTACATTAGTTCATCGGACTGGTGGTGAAGGAGGTACGTACAGAATGTATTTATATTCATAAATGTAAAGCATGAGTGTAGAATATAATTTCTTCTTCGGTAGAATGTAAAACTCTTATTTACACTCAGTTGCATAGTTTGAACTCACGTTATGTATCTTTTCATAAGAGAGTCCATCTGCCTGACTGTTCGCAACAATCTTTATGTCACATCAATATAATTTTCACATAACATGTTCTACTTGCCCTTAGCTAAAACAGAGCATACATTCCAGAACTTAAATAAGTTGATATGGCACAAGTTAAAATTCAGTTTGTTCTGCCACACACTTTCTGGCTGTTCATAGTGTTTATGGTTTATATTTTGGCATAATATTATTTGATTTTCAAGATCAAAGGAATTACTTAATAAATTAGCATGCAAACTGCTTATAACTTCAATATTGACATTTTCTGAAAGGATATTCAACAAACTGGTTACGTTTCACTCCAAGATCAAGCCAACAGTTGAAATCACCAACAGTTAATGTTTATAGACGAGTGTCGATGAGGCCCTCTGCTCTTCCAGGACTGGGGATTGCAAAAATGGATTCAAACAAACTCCAAAATATGATGCATGAGAAGAATCGAACCGCCATTTAAACCCTTCGTTTGCAAATGAACTTCTCACTACATCTCATACTACCAAAAAGGTATTTAGAAAAGAGTCGGTATGCAATCCAAAGGATATTTCCAAATGAACGTTTCTGGTCGACGAGCATGTAAACAGAAAGAGAGTACGCTTCTCTCGATGTTTACTTTGACCCTGAACAGTCATGAATGGCCCAGCACAATCTACTCCGATCTGTGTGAAGGCTCGAAGTGAAACTTCCATTCTCATTTTGGTTAAGGGAGCAATCAGTGATTGAACTGGCCTTGCCTTATTCAATATTCAGTATGTGCCTGCACATTCCCATGACAGAATCGTTTCCATTCGAGAGATAATCTACTACCCAGCAAACAATTCTACGTTGTGACAACGTTGACTTTTCGTTGCTACAACGTTGTGATGTTACGTTGTCACAACGTAATTCTGTAGACTCCCAGATTGGTTGCTACAACGTTGTGCGTAAACCAAAATACAACCAAATCAAGACGTTGTCACAACGTCCATTTTTTACGTTGCTACAACGTTTAACCAAAACGTCGCGACAACGTACCCAGCCAACAATTCTACGTTGTTACAACGTTGTGACAACGTTTACTTTTCGTTGCTACAACGTTGTGATGTTACGTTGTCACAACGTAATTCTGTAGACTCCAAGATTGGTTGCTACAACGTTGTGCGTAAACCAAAATACAACCAAATCAAGACGTTGTCACAACGTCCATTTTTTACGTCGCGACAACGTAGGTATCGCATACTGTTTACATATGGCGACACTACAGGCATCGCAGCACGTTGTTGCAATGTCCATGTAGATTAACGCCTGTTTCATCCTCAATACCTCCCAGGCAGCCTGAAAAGTTTGTACCAATCTAGTTAAGACACCAGGTACCAAGAAATACATTCTGCAAACTGAATTCACTTTAACCCTATCCATGAAACAGCAAGTCAATGAAATGCACTCTCTTTTGGCAGAGTTTGAAATACGGCCAAGATATAAATCTAAATGTTTTAAATTACATGTACAATTTGGTAATATAATATTCATTTTCCAAAACAATTTTCAAGGCTATGTGCAAATTGTTCACAAATGTTTCAACACAATTAAAAGATATTGGATTTTCCCACGAATTTGCAAATTAAAAACCATCAAACAATAAGCCCTGCACAAATTGAAACATTTAAATTTTCTTGGCCTTACCTCATACATTCAGCATTGAGAGCAACACTGTGACAAACAGAATAGTATATGCATCTGATGTCCTAAGATCCATTAGGTAAACGAAATGACAATAGAATTCTGGTTGAGGTGACCTTTATTTATTTGTTAAATGACAAGTCAGAACCTGGGCTGAATTGCTGGGGAGCCTTTTCAGTCCTCAAATGAAAAGTCACAGGGATGATCTTCAACTGTATCCTCAGTCTCTCCTTATGCCTTGGTAACTGAATAAAAAATGACACAAATGTTATAAAATGGCAAGGCAAGGGACATATTTCTGACATAACAAAATAACGGTTGCATTCCCCCAAATAATGTTTTGATGTCTGATGTCAGTCTTTAAACTGTTAAAAACTGCTGAAAGTGCGAAGGCGCTGACACTAATATCATGATGCTCTTGGATCATACATAAGCAGAAAAGCTTTAGCACTGAATCATTGGTGTAACTTTATAGCCCCGCCCTTTTAGATTGTGGGTATAATTAAATAAGAATCATCTAAATTTTAATTCTTGAAGATGTTTGTATATATTATTGAATCAGACATACCTTTCTGTCAGTGATATGTACTTTAAACAAATATGCTCCCACAATACTGTTTTCTCCACCTGAAAGAAAAACAGAAACCACAAAGTATCACATTCTTAAATAAACCAGTACTGTATAGATAAATCCCATTTACTTAGACTAATAGAGTATGATGTAACTGATAGTAATATTGGCAAATAGTTTTATCAGTCAACAGATCAACTGTAGTTTTTCAAAAGCAGTAACTTTACCTTTCTGCTGTACACTCAAACTAGTGATTCAAGTGAATATCATGGCCAAGTTTCTAAAACCTTATTTGAAAAATATGTACATAAATGAAAAATATATATTGCCAAATAAAATAAATAGTTCCCATATTTGAAGCAAGAATGTTGAATATGAATTATGAATTGGCCCACCAATAAGTGATAAAAGTGTTAACACTTTGGGGTATTTATCCTAATTAAAACTGTGATTTTTTTTAATACTTATAGATCTACCTTAATATTTTCCATATTAATATGCCAGGATAGTTATATATGTTCTAACATTTACAAAGATTAGAAACATGGGGAAATAAACAAAATGCAATAGCTTATACAATACCAGACGAAGTTGAAACAGCTCTAAATATTTATTGAAATTTATTTGTCACTACGTTTATGAACATAGATCTAATACAGTTAAATATCGTTAAATATAATTCTGTAGTATGGTAGCCTACGTGGCAACATATGCAGATCGAAAACCGAAAGAATATGGTTGCTATCAATTCCATTGTATTTTTCATTGGTGCACATTGGCTACACCTATCTCACTTTAATAATCAACAAACGATGACCAACTCACTGACAATATATGGTGATATTTAACTTTTGACTATCGACTAGCTTATCATCACCAGAGAGGACAATACCGCAAACACCCCGTTATAGCGCGCGACGAGAGACTCGTTTTACTTTTGCTCGTTTTCATTAGAAAGGAGTCGGACATAGATCTAGTTATCGGAAAATGATGAATTGATTCTTTTTTCGGAAATAATAAAAATACACATAAGCACCTTGCTATGATAAACTTTATAGACAGCAGCAACAACCTGATGATCCACATTTAGGCTACTTCAGTCAGTGCTAATTAGGCCTTTTCGGAAACATCAAGTATGTTTCTGTCTCTTCCCGAAAATACGATTTTTTTCATAACATCATTGATCACTTTAGACTAGGGCTATAACTAGCAGCCTACAGAGAGTCGATCTGAATACTTCCATTGTTTTGATTCCCTCTTTTCGCTGTATAAGAGAAATATACTTAACCTTTCCCATGGCCTGGATGAGCCACATTGTTGCACAAAAATCAAAGTCAGAAGATTAGTACATGTAAACTTTAAATAGTAATGATTTCAGAAATAACACAGAAGAAATGGCCATAACTGTCAGTGCGGTCAGTAGGCGATGCATAAGTTAGGCCTATTTACAAATCTACACGCTTACGAACGAAACCCGAACATAATATGACGGCCACAAAACGCCACCAGATTGAATTCTGGTCAAAAATATACCGCTTGCCCTTGGCAATTACCCTTGGTATCCATAAAATAATAATATGGAAAAAAGTCTAGGGCCCCCTTCACCTCTATCATCAAGTTCTGTGTATCATATTAATATCAACACTGACGCTCAGTGAAAATGACCGGCAAACTGCATTCTTAACCCTGCCACTTCTGAATAATACGATACATTTAGATCATTTGACGCACTGCATGCACAGAAACATATCAACAAGCGGAGACTGCTTTTGAAAATTTAACTTACCTCAATCGAATTCACAGATCATCTGTCCAGTTCCAGTTGCTGCACAATCACTTGCTTGAGTTTGAGCTAAGATGGCTGGTGACAACAAATCTTCCGCGACAATGTGACGTCATTCTGACGTCACTTCACGAGGCAACAGGCTAAACTTTTCCGCAGTCGCTCTCACGCCGCAAAAAATACGCGCCAATTGTTTTTAACTGTAATATTGCTTGTGACAACATTTAGTTCGTTAATAGATATATATGTTTAAAAAGAAATAACACTAAGAGATGGTAGATCTACAAGTGGTTTCCTAAACATCATTTACAAAAAGTACTGTAATGTCCAAAGCACAACGTTATCACAACGTTAATTTGCAACGTTGTTGTAACGTTGTCACAGATATACGCAATTACGTTCTCGAAATATTAGTATTAAGAGATGAAAATTCAAATGCCGAATATATAGAAAGGTAATGCATTACTACCTTGGTTTTCTGACAAATTCATGTTGATTTTGATAAAGCAGTTCTATTCCTTTATGACTATCGAGAAGCAAACTCAATAACGTTTCACCGACGTTTCAGAAACGTAGTTACAAAACGTTGTGCGATGTCCAATGCACAACTTTTTCACAACGTGAATGTGCAACGTTGTTATTACGTTGTGAAATAACGTTGCAGGTCGACGTTAAAATAACGTTGTTACAACGTTATATCACGACGTTACCAATCCACAACCTTTCAACAACGATGGAAGTTCGAATCATGCATCGAAAATGTTATTGTCATTGTTTGTTGTTTAATCGCCTCTTACGACAAGCACGGGTTGCTGAAAAGTGAAAACCAAATCTAA